TTCAAACGAGAATACATATCATGAACAAGCTCATCATCATTCATTGTAAAGGAATCATAACTTTGTTTAGCTAGACAATGTTTTTGCTCACGGACATTTGATGTACCGTCATGGAACTCTTGGAGTTTTAACCATATTTCATGTGCCGTATTTAAAGTGAATACTTGATTAAACACATCCATGCTAAAAGATTCAAACAAGTAATTTTTTGCTCTAGCATTGAAATGCATTTCTTTTTCATCACTCTTTATGGGTTTTTGGGATTCTTAATGGGTTTCATCCCGTCACGAGTGACTCTCCAAACACCCAAATCAACACGCCTCAAGATAGCAAGCCATTCTAGCTTTATAATAGGGGAAGTTTGTGTCATCAAAGTGCGGAGGCCTAGAGGTATCCATCCCAACCATTCTAAATGGCGTCGGCTCAATGGCGGTTAAGCCAAAGGTCCAAATTGAGCCAACCGGCTCTGATACCAATTGAAGGGACCTTGACGCCTAAGAGGGGGGGTTAATTAGGCGACTTAAAAATCTAACTCTAAACTATGGCCTCCTTTTCTACCCTTAGTAAAACCTATGCAAAAGATAAACTATCTAAGTGTGCACCTACGGTTTTGCTAGTGTGTTGCTATCTCTACCGCAAAAGGAGTAATACAATCAATGTAAATGCGGAAGCTAAAGAGCAAGGTAGAGATATGCAAACTCCCGTCGACGACTCTGGTATTTTTACCGAGGTATCGAGAAATGCGCAAGCTTCCCCCTAGTCCTCGTTGGAGCCCCTCGCAAGGAATCCCTCGCAAGGGCCAAGCTCTTGGTCGGGTAACTCCATGGATAGCCTCGGGCCTTCCCCACGCGCAAGTGGGTCTCCGACGTGCCTTCCGGCAAGCCTCTCCCGGATGCTCCCCGCCGTCTTCACTATCAAGCTTCCGGCTGAAACACCGCGGGCCTTGTTCCCTCCGATACACGGTGGCGGCCACACCACAAACGTGGTTGGTGTGATCTTGCAAGACTACAAGCCCCTCCGATGTACAACAATGGTGCTCGCAAGCACCAAGTGGTAAGAGGTATGCAAACCTCACTAAACACTAGGCCTAAACCTAGAGCAAGTGCATGAGCGGTAGTCTAATCAACTTAAGCACTTCGCAAAGCACCTACGCTAATCACCTGATGAATCACTAAGCACTATGCAAGTGGAGATTACTAAAATAGTGTATCAACACCCTTGGTATGTTTCCTCAGCTCCACACTTATCAAATGGCCGGTTGGGGGTTGTATTTATAAGCCCCACTGAGAAAGTAGCCATTGGGGATGAAATCCCGCTTTTCTGCTACTGACCGGACACTGGAGTCGTCCTGATCGGACGCGTCCGGTCGTCCCGACCGTTGGAGCCATGAACAACTGATCGGATGCTGCCAGCGTTCGGTCACTTGCCACCGGACGTGTCCGATCGTAGTTTCACCGCTCTAGAACCTCTCTATACTCGATCGTACGCTGCTGCCCAGCGTCCGGTCGGTTTTGCCGCCAACGTCCGGTCCAGTGTCCGGTCGCTGCTGTTGATGCCAGTTTGCTGAGCCTCTTCATCGGCACGTCCGATCGCTTCTGCGAGCTTGTTTCTTCATGATCTTGCGTACGGCTTGGTTCCTATCTTCGTGTTTGGACTTTGCTTGATATCTTGGGTCTTCTCTTGTGCTCCTAAGGTCTTGCTTGAGGTGTTGATCATCGGATCATCACGTCGCCTTTGTCCAAGTCAGGTCTTGCATCCTATTGAACTACAAAATAATCACTTGCAAATTTATTAGTCTAATTTGGTTGTGTTGGTCATCAAGCACCAAAATCCAAAGTAAATGGGCCTAGGGTCTATTTTCCTTATAGAGCGACATGGTGTCGGAGGCGACAACGAACGCTCCCACGTCGGAGCGGCCGGCGAGGAGGTCGGCGTAGACATGGTCAAAGCCCATGAGTGCCGGGCCGCTCATCGACGGCCGAGGCCTGAGGCAGACGACCTCGGTCTATCTTCATCTCGCTGTTCGTGCGGTCAACGAGCCAGAAACAGAGAAGAAAAGCGAGAGGGAGAGACGGTGAGGGAGAGAGGGAGAGAGGGAAGAGAGCGGTATGGGGACCGGGGAGCAAGGGCGCAGAGCTGAGGCTGGCGGACGACGGGCAGGGGGCAGAGCGAGGAGAGGGTGGCTCGGTGGGCGTGAACTATGGCAGCGTGGGCAGCAGGCGAGGGTGAGATAGGTGGGCGGTGGGAGCAGCGGCGCAGGGCGAGCGAGAGAGGCGAGGGGAGCAAAGAGGGCGCGGGGCGATGGCGACACTCTCGGCTCCATGGTGGCGGCCTTGGTGCAGCAGGGAGAGGGAAACAAGGAGAGAAGGGAGGCAGAGAAGACATATGGAGAAGGAGAGCAGAGCAGAACACGGCGGCGGCGACGACCTCGACTCCGGCGAGCAGAGAGCAGAGGAGGAAGAGAAGGGAAGGGTGGAGACAGGACCCGAGCTCGGTGAGGTGCTCCTCGACGGCAGCCATGGCCGGCCTTTTATAGGCGCACGGTAAGGCGGTTCAGTGGAGATATTCTCCGACCATGGAGATTTTTGCCGGCAATGGTGGCAGGGCACAGTGAGGTTGGCGACTTCGGCGACCGTTGCACAGGAAGTCAGCGGAGAGGGTGAGCTGTTGGTTGCTGGAAAATATCTCCGGCAACAAGATGGTGTGTGGCAGCAGGTCAACGCTTCGACGCGGAGCAGACGCGGTGTGGCTTCGCGATGACGACGCGGCGGCCACACGTGCGGACCAGAGAAAGGAGGAAGGGGAGCGGATGGGAGAGAGTGGAGTGGGCCACGGGGTAATACAGACGCTAGGGGTAGGGTGGACATTTTACATCGGCCTGTTGACTCGGATCCGAGAAGGACAGCGGACCTGGCGTGCCACGCGAGCAAAAGTGGCAAATGTGTATCGTTTTTCTCTCTCCGATGCTAAAAATGTAGCGCCAAACCTAAAGCTGCTATCTCAGGAGTCGCCATTGGTAATAATGGTAAAAAGTTAAATATCCCTTGAAAACCACCAATGTCATAGTGGCAGATGTGTATTCGCCAATGAAGGGAGAGGAACCGAGTCATGATGACTATTGGTGCTCTAATGTGGATTAGGGGATTGAGTCAACAATCCCATATATACCACGAGAAAAAAAAATCAAGTTCTTTATGTGTTATTCTTTTACTTGCTTTACTTCTTGTTGATTACAAGGTCATTGAGTGACAACTAGGATGTACTTAATTGTGTGCTGAGCAAAGATTTCATTCTTGCAAAATAATAACGACATTACTCTTAGTGTGAATCTTTGCTAAGGATCTTATTAGTGTGATGGTCCTAAAGACTTCGTAGATTTTTTTAGAAAGATTTATGTGTCAAGGTGCAAAGGGAGTTTATTTTTACATAAACTAAAGTTGTGGAAATTTCTTGTGGTGAATAGGAGAACAGGGTCCATTGCCATCTCTACATGGTAAGCTCAAGTCAGGTGGCAACATTTTGATTGGCTCTAAAAAGAAAAAACAACAACGACCGTCTCCTTAGGGCTTTAGGCTGTCGCAGCCATTGCTAGGACACCTCGCAGCCATCGCTTAGGGACTCCATCCTCTTCGGCGAGACCACTGGTGGCAAGAAGGAGAGGCCCTATCCCTTGTTTACAATTAAGCAGTTCTTTAGGTTTAGTTTTCTTAGTTTTAGTCTGAATAAATTCACGAAATCATCACTAATGTTCGTCCGAAGAGCTTGTTATGTGTGTGGCTTCGACAATGGACATGAGGGAGGTTGTTATTGGGGGAGTTGATTTTCTTAGAAAGAGGATAGCATGTGGTTACTATGTATAGTTGTCCCCATCGTCGGAAGGCTCGAAGAGAAAATCCGGCGTCCAACTTGATGGATCAATGGTTGGAGGTGCTGAATACGAAGCTCATGTTATACCCTAACGATTCAACTACCAATGTTTTTTCATCGAGCAAGCTACATTTTGATTTGTTTCCTGAATGTTTGATCTTGCGGCATGTCTTAAGGTTTTAGGGTTCTTGGCACATTCGGTATGAGAAGTGTACTATGACTTTCGGTATTAAACGGGAATCTATTCATCTGGAGCATTTTGGCTACATCGACCAAAGCCTCCCACGGTCTCACTTGCCACGGGCTGTTTGAGCACTGGGTCAGGTCAGGTGCAATGCAATGCGCTGCTTTTACACTTTACTACGGTCGTTGAAATCCTCTCCGCCCGTAGATCGGCGTCGCTCAGGTGCAATGCAATGCGCTGCTTTTACACTTTACTACGGTCGTTGAAATCCTCTCCGCCCGTAGATCGGCGTCGCTATGTAACAGTAAGCCAGCAACACAACAGTGAAGGCGTTCCATGCTAAAATGGATGTCACGCCACCGACACCGACACCGACACCGAGTGGTGGCAGGACGCAACACACCAAATGGTCCTGCGGATGTTTTATGCAAATTCCCCTTTGGTTTATTCACGCAACTGGCAACATCAATTCATCTTGTTTTCACGCCAGGATTCATGCCCCAGTTGCCCACCTGCCTATGTTGCACTGAGCAGCTAGCTGCTGGCTGTTGCTCGCCGTCGTCGTCCAGCTTCCCTCCCTGATTGCCTCAACCTCTGCTCTCGACACACCCATTGCCAATGATGAATGAACTGCGTGTGGATTTAGGTAGGCCATCTCATCCGCGATCTGTAATTTTACCAGTTCCCTGATTTTAATCAACAAGATTTGAGGTACACCAGGTCACCAGCCATATCAATTATCAACCTTGTTCATCCTAACAACAACAGCAATCGATGGAGTAATAAGCAATTAAGCAGGACGAAGGACAAGAAAAAGCCATGGCGTTTCCATCCATGCTCACGCGCACGCAGCAGCCACCGACACACACACTTCTCGTGCTCGTGCAGATGCATCTCGACAGAGACAGAGAGAGGGTTAAAAAAAGACAAATCTTTAAACCACCCCGCCCTAAGCAGCCAAGGCGGCGGCCACGGCGACGGCGACGGCGGCGAGCCACCTTGAGCGACACGGGGCGCCGGGAGCCGCCGCGTTCTTCCTGGAGTCCTTCCTCTGGTCCGCCGGCGTGGCGTCGTCAGCGGCGGGGCCGGGCGCATCCGCGCCGCGCCGTCGCTGGTGCCGCGTCCTCTTGGCGGACGACGAGGCCCTGGGCGCGTCCGCCACTGGCGCGGGCGCCGGCGCGGGGGCGTCCGCCACGGGGTCGAACAGCTCGACAGGCTCCAGCACCGCGTCCACGGCGTAGATGGCGACGGGGTCCCTGTCGTACACGGTGGAGCGCACCCGGGCCGGGTCGTCGGACGCCGGCGTCCGCAGCGTGACCTGGTCGCCCGCGTTCTGCACCGTGAGGTTGTAGTTGCTGGCGGCGCCGTCGGTGGCCAGTGTGTTCATGGGCCCGTTGCTGGACTTGAGCCCCCGCAGCGTGTAGTAGACGGGCACCGCGTGGAACAGCAGCAGCGACGCCTTGCCGTCCGCGCTGAGGTTCCGGTAGCTGGGCATGAACCCGCGCACGGCGTCGTCCGTCGGGCAGAACGCCGTCACGCCGCCGCCCACCGCCGACTGGAACGCGGAGAGCGCGTCGGGGGACTTGGACACCAGCGACGCGAACGCCTTGCACGCGCCCTTGGACATCAGAGCCGTGATGTTGGGCGGCGCCGGCGGGGCCGCGGGCGCCTTCGCCGTCGCCTTCGCCGCGGTGGCGGCCGAGGCCAGCGGGAGGAGGAGGAGGACGAGCGCCGCGGCGGCGGCGAAGGCGCCGAGGGGGAAGCGGTGCATTGCGGCGCGTGGGAGTGAGCGGCAGGCAGATGGCAGCAGCCGACACTCCAGCAGACCAGCAGCGCGTAGTGATGAGCTGCTGAGAGCGAGGGCAGTGTGACTGGGGAGAGGTGATGAGCTGGCTTTGTGATTGAAATGGAAATGGAAATGGAGGTGCCATTGGGTTCACTGATAATACCAAGGATTGCCATCCCTCAATCCCAGTCCCAGCAAGCTGCGTTGGATTAGAATTTGTGTGAGTTAACGTGTGATTTGGTGGTTGCTCTGTCTTTGTTTATCAATCGTACTGCGTGGAGTTGTTGTCCTTACTCTCAAAATTTCGGGGACAACCTGTTGTCCTCTTCTCCTGTGTCCTTTCTTTCATTTTGGCATTTTGGATCTCATGGTGCACCGTGGCGACCGCTGTGTTTTGCCTTCAAATTGTGTGACGTGCATCATATATGAATATCTTGCGCTCCCAATGTAATTTGGGAACGTGAAGCCCAATTCTTGATTGTTGTCCAAAAATGCAATGTTATTTTATTTTGCTCTTCAACTTCACCGAGCGTCGCCTGTTCACCATCCAGTGCATCAAATTTTCAAAGGCCTTAAAATTTTAGGTTCAGATTTTACAGAATACCTTGAGTTGCTCATATACAGCCTACCGACACCTTCAAAGCAGATTTTGCTCAGCTCATCGCAACCGAGTTTTTTACGCAGAGAGAGGAATACGGAGAGAAATGAAAAGGCCTTCCGACAAAGACAAGCAGGGAATACGGAGAAGGGACCACCAGGACGTTGGGTTGGGTCCCCGCCACAGCTGCACTGCTGTGCACTGCACCTTGCTGAACGGGCTGTGCACTGCAACTTGCTTAACGGACGGCCGGCTTATCAGCTAGAATCTATAGTATTTTTTCTCTCACAACAAAATAGCTGCAGCCGGCTTTAATGCCAGCCGAACAAGCCCGCAAATTGTGAGACTGTATACATATATTTGTGCCAAAAAGAAAAAGAAAAGGGAATCGCCAACGCCAATGCAGTGAGGCTCGTACCCCGTTGGCGCCTTATTTTTAATTGCCGCGGCGACGACGATCAAATTGTTACCGATCAAGTACCACGATATAGTATTGGATAGATTTGGTGGGTAGAACTTGTGTTCATCGGAACCTCGCCGCAGCTAGCTCCGCCGTCGCCGGCGCCGGCTCTGCCGTGCGATGCCTTAGCCAAATACAAGTCGAAGTTCTCCTCTCCACGGCTACCACTACTTGCTCTCATTACATGGGCCTCAGCCCACTACAGCCACGCAGGGCCCATTACTCTTGGGTTCGGCCTTCTGGCCCTTTTGGTCAGCCCACCTTCGCCTTCCTAAATAGCACCGACGTCTTCATCCTTCTTCGCGGGAGGGACAGGTGCTCTGGTGACATTCCTCTGCCCTTGAAAGATGGCTTGACCCCAAGCTGGTGCTCGAGGGAACTGCTGGCGAAGGGCGTCTTCATCTTCCCATGTGGATAGCTCCAGAGGTGTACGAGACCAGCGGACGAGAACTTGGGGCTGAGTCTTGTCGTGATGAAGATGCAAACGACGATCCAGAATCTCCAAAGGTACCTGAAGGCTGTAAGAAAGAACATGTAACTCTGAACATACCGAGTGATTAGGAGGTACGGCTTTCTTTAGCTGTGATACGTGGAAGGTTGGATGGATTATGGACTCATCGGGGAGCTTTAGAGTATATGCTGTTGCACCAATCTTGGCTATGATCAGGTAAGGGCCGAAATAACGGAAACAAAGTTTGTTGGATGACCTGAGAGCAACGAATGACTGAACGTAAGGTTGTAGCTCCAGATAAACACAATCTCCCACAGCAAATGATCTGTCAGAACGTTTCTTATCTGCTTGAGTTTTCATCTTCTTTTGTGCTCTGAGCAAATGTTGCTGTAGCAGCTGTTGCATGAGAGATCTGTCCTTAAGCCACTCATCCAAGTCATCAACAGCACAATTTTCCACATCTATTCCCAGTTGGCGTGGCTCATGACCATACAGGACATAAAATGGTGTCTTGTTTAATGAAGAATGGAATGATGTGTTGTACCAAAATTCAGCCAAGGACAACCAATTAGACCACTTGGTAGGACATGCATGAACAAAACATCGGAGATAAGTGGCCTCCATGCCCTAGTGGCCTCCCAATGGACTGGCATGAAGAGCAGTGGTGATTTTATGATGCAAATCACTTAGTGATCCCAACCACAGTCTCTTGTTCAGAGAGAAATGACCAACAGGAGAGGAAACCAAGAGCTGCTGTAACAATTCTGACAACTCAGGGTCTTGTAAATATGCATCTTGTAGGTCAGTCAACCAGAGTAGTTGTAGGACTGAGGTAGCAGCTAATTCGGTTGACTCTTGATGGGTTGCTCTAGATAGGGCGTCGGCTACCGAATTCTCAGATCCCTTCTTGTATAGTATCTTGAAGTTGAGTCCCATCAGTTTGGTCAATGCTTTGTGTTGCTACGGAGTAGTGAGACGCTGATCATCCAAGTGTAACAGGCTCTTCTGATCGGTTTTCAGGATGAACTCAGAGTGTTGCAAGTATGGGCGCCAATGATCAACTGCAATCATGATGGCTAAACATTCCTTGTCGTAAGTGGAGAGACCCTGGGATTTAATACTAAGAGCATTACTCATATAGGCCAAAGGATGTCCCTCTTGCTGAAGAACGACACCCACAGCTTTGTCAGAGGCATCGGTTTCAATACAAAATGGTTTACTGAAATTTGGCAGTTGTAACACCGGTGCTGAGATCAAGGTTTGTTTCAAGGCATCAAATGCAGCCTGAGTCTCAGAGGTCCAGAGAAATAATACACCCTTCTTGAGTAAGTTTGTAAGTGGCTTGCTCAAAAGGCCAAAGTTCCTCACAAACTTCATGTAGTACCCCGCCATGCCTAAAAAGCTTCTGAGTTCCTTGATAGTCAAAGGTGCAGGCCAGTTTTCTATGTTATTGACTTTATCAGGATCAGTGGCAACACCATTAGATGACCCAAGTGTTTGAGTTCTTGTTGTGCAAAGACACATTTCTTCAATTTAACTTGAAACTTATGCTGTCTCAATGCTTCAAACACAAGTCTGATATGATGTATGTGCTCAAGCCAAGAGGAACTATAGATTAAGATATCATCTATAAAAACAACCAAAAACACCCTAAAATGGAGCAAGGACATGATTCATCACAGATTGGAATGTGTCTGGCCCACCAGCAACTCCATAAGGCATAACTTGGTACTCATAATGACTGTTGTGGGTCTGGAAAGCTGTTTTAGGCTCTTCACCAGGTGCTAGTATGATCTGATAAAAACCAGAGCTTAGAGCCAAGGACATGAACCAAGATGCTACACCAAGCTCATCTAGTATCTCATCAATAATTGGTAATGGGTATTTGTTCTTTACTGTAAAGGCATTGAGCTTCTGATAGTCAACACATAGCTGCCAGTCGCCTGTCTTCTTCTTGATCAAAAGAGCAGGAGATGAAAATGGACTGCTACTGAGTTGGATAAGCCCTTTCTCTAACATCTCTTTAATTTGTGACCCAATTTCTGTCTTTTAGGCTGGGTTATATCTGTAAGGCCAGAGTTTAAATGGCTGCACCCCAGGAAGCAAGGGAATAGTATGGTCTCCTGGTCGGCTAGGAGGTAACCCAGAGACAGGTTCAAATATATCTGCAAACTCATCAATGAGTGCCTGAATTTCACCAGGTAACATAGGCATAACAGGTGTAGAATCAGTGTTAATGTTCACTTGTACTTGATAGAGGACAGAATCGTCCTTGACCAATGCTTGGAGCTGGTGAACTGAGATAGGAGGTCCCATGGTAACCATATTGCAGATACCTTTGAGAGTGACCAAGGAATTACCCTGAGTAAACTGAAGCCACTTATCCTGCCAGTGAACATGCATTGGGCTATTTTGCTGAAGCCAATCCATTCCCAAGATAATATCATAACTGTTAAGTGGAATGATCTTGAAGATGGTGTTGAACGTGTACCCACTGACACCCCAGACTTGGTTCTTCAGTTGATGATTACAATTGATGACACTGCCATTCGCCACCCTGACTTGAATTGAATGATTCAGAGGACTCCAACTAGGTATAGAAGTAGCTAGCTGTTCACTGATAAATGAATGTGTGCTGCCAGAATCAATCAACATATAGGCCTTATGAGCAGCTATATAGCCCTGCAACCTAATAGTTCTTGTAGATTCAGTGCCTCTGATAGCCTGGACAGAGATATGCATCAAATCATCACCAGAATCACTGTCAATGGCTGGACATTCAGGAGAGTAGTCAGAAACATCATCAAACAATTTCCATATTTCTTCTACGGCATTGAGAGATATAGCCTTGGGACATTTGTGACCAGGGCCCCATTTTTTGCCGCATTTGAAACAAAGACCCTTGGCTCGGCGGTAAGACTTATGGTCCGCCATAGATTTAGCAGGGGTCTTGGAAACAGACCCTTCTGGTGGACGAGTGTCTGCTCAACTAGATGATGTACTTTTAATATAAGGTGGAGACGGCTGCATAGAAGACTTGCTACCATCGATCGACACCTTCTTGCCATAAGTATTGTCCAAACGGCAAAACTCATGTTTGCTTGTCCCAGTCAAGACCTCCTCCTGCAAAAGTGCAATGGAACTAGCAGTATCGATGTCGTGGGGACGTTGTACCAAAACTATAGACTTAATGTCATCACGTAAACAATCGATGAAACGGTTTGTAATGAAAGAATGGTCTAAATGAGGATTATGAACAAGTAATTGGTGGACTGTATCACTGAAGGCTGCAATGTACTCTGTGACTGTATGAGTTTGTTTAAGGTGGAAAAATTTGCGTTGTAAGTGATCGTGCTCATCCCGATCAAACTTACTGCAGATGGCTGTACCAAGCTCCTTCCAAGACATATCACGAGCGAAAGCAGGAATGGTCTGAACCCAAAGGGAAGCAGACCCAGTGAAGTTCATGGTGGAAAGTTTGACCCAGCGATGCTCAGGCACAGAATAGAGATCAAAGAATGTTTCGGAATTCCTAATCCAGAGTTTGGGATTGCTACCATCAAATTTGGGGAACTCAAATGGTGGTATAGCAGAATTCCATTTCAGAGCCAAGCCACTAGGTGTACAACCAATAGAACCGAATTGTAGAGCAGAGGGGTTCGAGGAATTTGGTGCACCTGTGACTGGGGTAGGTTCCGGGGTAGTGGTGTACACCACCCCGAATCCAGCACCTCAGTGAGTATGTTCTTCGCCGTGGTCAATAGACCCAGATGCCGCCCCCGGCGGGGTAGGCTCCAGATGGGCGGAGCCCGGCACCTTCATGCTCGCGGAGGCGGAGGGTTCACCGTGAGCCACGATCGGAGAAGGCTGGGCGATGGTGACTGTACCTACCTACACCACCGCCGAGAGATCCACCGGCTGAGCTTGCGGAAGTAGAGTCCCGAGCGCCTGCTTCCACGCGCTCTGCCTAGATACATCACCGCGTGCTCTAGCTCGCTGACGCGGTTGTAGACCAAGGGCTTCCAAGTGTTGATGTCGGTCCGCAGAGCCCGCATCTCCATCATCGAACTGCGAAGCTCTTGGATCCCCTTCGAATTCTCGTCGAGCAGCGCTAGGATCTAGCCGAACTGCTCTTCCGGCGACGCCATGGACATCTATTGTCGGGTGAGGTAGGGGTGTGATGCTAGGGTCGAAGATCTCATACCAGATGGTACCGACCAAGTACCACGATATAGTATTGGATACATTTGGTGGGTAGAACTTGCATTCGTTGGAGCCTCGCCGCAACTAGCTCCGCCGTCGCCGCCGCCGGCTCTGCTGTGCGGTGCCTTAGCCGAATACAAGTTGAAGTTCTCCTCTCCACAGCTACCACTACTTGCTCTCATTACATGGGCCTCAGCCCACTACAGCCACGCAGGGCCTGTTACTCTTGGGTTCGGCCTTCTGGCCCTTTTGGTCAGCCCACCTTCGCCTTCCTGAATAGCGTCGACGTCTTCATCCTTCTTCATGGGAGGGACAGGTGCTCTGGTGACATTCCTCCACCCTTGAAAGACGGCTTGACCCCAAGCCAGTGCTCGAGGGAACTGCTGGCGAAGGATGTCTTCATCTTCCCATGTGGATAGCTCCAGAGGTGTACGAGACCAGCGGACGAGAACTTAGGGCTGAGTCTTGTCGCAATGAAGATGCAGACGATGATCCAGAATCTCCAAAGGTACCGAAGGCTGTTAGAAAGAACAGGTAACTCTGAACATATCGAGTGATTAGGAGGTACGACTTTCTTTAGATGTGATACGTGGAAGGTTGGATGGATTCTGGACTCATCAAGGAGCTATAGAGTATATGTTGTTGCACCAATCTTGGCTATGATCAGGTAAGGGCCGAAATAATAGAAACAAAGTTTGTTGGATGACTTGAGAGCAATGGACGACTAAACATAAGGTTGTAGCTTCAGATAAACATAATCTCCCACACCAAATGATCTGTCAGAACGTTTCTTATCTGCTTGAGTTTTCATCTTCTTCTGAGCTCGGAGCAAATGTTGCTGTAGCAGCTGTTGCATGAGAGATCTGTCCTTTAGCCACTCATCCAAGTCATCAACAGCACAATTTTCCACATCTATTCCCAGTTGGCGTGGCTCATGACCATACAAGACATAAAATGGTGTCTTGTTTAATGAAGAATGGAATGATGTGTTGTACCAAAGCCACTCATACAAGTTGAAGTTCTCTGTAACACCCCGGGTGTTAGCCACTTGCTAGGTAGTGGGTTTGAGCTCAAACATGGCATGTTAAGTGATAATCAAGAGCTTTAGTTCCTTATCTCTGAAGTGGTGATGAAGTTGTTGAGGTCAAACCTATGAAAATGAGCCCCAACTTGAACTTGGGCAATACACTTTGCTTACCTATGGACCCTTGTTAAGATTTTGCATGAGTAATGTTGAACATGCTTATTTCAAGAACATTACATCAACATGCATCCATCTTGACCAGCGGAAAAAGTTTCAGGAAGTTTGGAGCCAAGAAGTCACATAGAATCATAAGTTATAACCTTTCTTGAATTGCTTCATCAGGTAAATGGGAACATGGGATATCAACTAAACCTTGTAACCTTGCCCAAATGACTCT